TTCTCTCAGGGAACTTATGAACTATTTAGTTCCATGGGGGTACTGGGCACTAAATGCTGGGCACTAAGTACTGGGCACTAATAGCCTACGGCAAAGTACTTGTTGTGAAAGTGGCTATTGTCAGCCGTACTTAAAAAAATAAATAAAATTCGTGTAAGATTCTGTTACTGTACTGTTTATTTCTGGCCTCTAAAGTTTTCAGAAATGTATTTTAGTGGACTATTTAGCTGTAATTTGAGATCGTTTTTATAACAGACGGACGCCATTGTGTGCCTAATTTAAGCATAATCTTCCCAAACTCGGATCAAACTGTAAAAATATGCAGTGCTGATCAAACATGAATAACAGTTAGTTAGTTAGATAGATAGATAGTTATATAGGCTTCAACATTTCATTATAAATCTAAACTAACTGACATGCCAACAATAAACATTAATGGCTCCTACAATACGCACAGGGCTTTTATTGTGAAAGGGAGGAGAGGATCTCGTCTGTTTGCCGTCTTGATTATATATTATTATTAATATAGACTCAATGTGTGGTTGCCTTTATTAGAGCTGAAGTCTCAGGGAAATGGACCTTGTTTTGGACAAACCTCCCCGGTGTGTGAAGGCCTCTACAGAGAGTCTCCGTCACATGATCAGGGTTATCTGTCACATGATCAGGGTTTTCAGTCGGCCAGGTCTTCAGTTTGCTCAGTGGTTCAGTTCTATAGAAGGAGAAAGAGTTAGAGGACATTCTGAGTCTCTCTGTCCCTGTCTGTGTTGAACGGGTGCATTAAAGATGATATTAAAGTTAATACTGTCTTTAACTTCTCTGAGCTGCTTTTCTGAGGAACTGATGACGAAGATGCTGATTACAGATTACAGAAACTGTTGGTTTCCTGTTTCCATGACACCAGGCTGTCAGAGTCCGATCAGATTAAACTTTAACACGCAGAAGAGCTGGACTCAAAATATATCACCGTCTTTAAACTCAGGGTTCATATGAGTTCATGTTGAAGATCACTCCGTACATTTAGATTCTGAAATGTGCCATCATGAAACATCAGTTATTTAACTTCTAGTAGTTTAAGTATGGGCTGTACGGCCTCTATTAACACACACACACACACACACACACACACACGTATGAATATATACGTGAATACAGCTGTAACCTGTATATCCTTTCTAATGCATGTCAATAGTGTTTCTAACTGAACGTGTTACAGAGTCTCTGATGTTCAGGCTGATATGAGGCTGCAGATGTTGTGCAATACGCTGCTTGCTCTTATCAATGGTTGTGTCTTTAGTACAAATAAGGTTTTCTTCAAACATTTCAAAGATATATATAATTAATAAATAAATGAAATATGAGTTTTGTTTCAGAACCAGAATCCCTTTGTTAGTCCCACAGAGGGGACATTCACATTGTTCCAGCAGGAGAGAGCCACAGCTTCATGTGACCTAAAGCTTGGTGATAATGAAGGAGCCTTCTGGAAGGAGGCAGTATGAACAGGTTCTCAGTTCACAGTAGCTCACACTGTTGGTGCACATAGAGCAGGGGTGTCCAAACTACGGCCCGAGGACCAAATGAGGCCCGTGGTCCATTTCTGATCACAGTGAATTCTAAAAGTATAATTGAATATGGCCCACACATGAAACTTGTGTCTTATATTGTACTTCTTAAATATATCTAGCAGTGCCGTGAAGCCCAACGCTGCAAACTGTAGGCGATGGATGCAGATGGGAGCAATTCCCGTAGACCAGGGGTCTCCAACACGATGGCAAGCTACCGGTAGTGTGGGGGAAACTTCTGAAGCAATGGAAAACAGGACTCAGAGACACGAGGAGAGCTGGAGCTTTGATGTCAAACACTGACGGTTTATTTGGAGCTTCATGTCACGGGCCACGAGTTGACCACACGGTAGAGATGCCAAATCAATCCTGAAGACCCCTCCTGTAGCTCCAGGTTTTAGTTGTGTAATAATAATAATCAACATTCTTCAATAGATAGACTAAACAGCTGAGGACACTGAATCACAGTTGTTGTCTCTTATGGCTCGGGGTCATCTCCACCCCGAGAAGGATGTGTTCCAGGTGTCCCACAACAATAACTATCTCTGACCGAGAGTTGCCCGGTCACAAACTGGTAACATCAACAATTGCTAGGGCAGCCCCTCCTTAGGGAGATAGCGGCTGCTCGAGGGTTAGGGCATCTGCGTCAGAGGGCGAAAGATGGCATGCAGGGGAAATTATCACGTTCTTGCTTGATTTGCGGGCAGAAAAGCAATGTGGAGCGGCAGCTCATCGCTTCATAAGGAGTGTGACCTTTCCTTCTGGCAGATTCTACAACACATCAGCCCCATTGAGCACAGCCTAGTCGTGCCAGCCTATACAGCACATGAGGGGCAGAGTCTTACTGTGTGTGTGTGTTGCAACTTGCATATAATTATTGCACTTGACGCACACACACATGCATGGCGTAATTTCCACTGGGGACAGGGGGGACATGTCCCCCCCCACTTTTCGAAATCCTGTTTGTGTCCCTCTACTTTACAAATATGTTTATTATTATTTTTTAACGCAAGCCGTCATCGCCACGGAGGAGCACACAGCCTCTGAGAGAGAGACAGAGGGAGAGAGAGCAAGAGAGAGAGAGAGAGGAGAGAGAGAGAGAGAGAGAGAGAGAGAGAGAGAGAGAGAGAGAGAGAGAGAGAGAGAGAGCAAGAGAGAGCACACCTTTGTCTATTTAATATAGCCTAGGTGTAAAAAATAAAGTAATAAATCATGCCAATGTGTAGGCTACTATAGGACAGTAAAAAAAACAGTGTAAAAGGGGAGTGATTAGTAAAATATGCATAAATAGAAAGAAAGAATGCTAACTAGGTAACATAAGATAAGAATAATCCAGTTTAAATGATTTGTTATTGGTTGTGATCATATTCTAAAGATGATTGGATAATTGAAAAGTATACAGATCCCTTTCATCTGAGTGTTGAGAGCTGTGTCCATAAATTCATGTTGTGCTCAAAGTGCAGCAGATTGATGCATTTCACTTCAACATTTAAAAAAACATCTTCCCGGGGGTACATACCCCCATAGAGGAGGTGAGGACCCCCCTAGAGGAGGTGAGGACCCCCATAGAGGAGGTGAGGACCCCCCTAGAGGAGGTGAGGACCCCCTAGAGGAGGTGAGGTCCCCCCTAGAGGAGGTGAGGACCCCCCTAGAGGAGGTGAGGTCCCCCCTAGAGGAGGTGAGGACCCCCTAGAGGAGGTGAGGTCCCCCCTAGAGGAGGTGAGGACCCCCCTAGAGGAGGTGAGGACCCCCCTAGAGGAGGTGAGGTCCCCCCTAGAGGATGTGAGGACCCCCATAGAGGAGGTGAGGACCCCCCTAGAGGATGTGAGGACCCCAGAGGAGGTGAGGTCCCCCCTAGAGGATGTGAGGACCCCCATAGAGGAGGTGAGGACCCCCCTAGAGGATGTGAGGACCCCAGAGGAGGTGAGGTCCCCCCTAGAGGAGGTGAGGACCCCCCTAGAGGAGGTGAGGACCCCCCTAGAGGTCCCACAGACCCAAACAGCACACAAAGGTAAAGGAGTAAAAGTAGCTCTCATCCTAAAACAGGTTGGAGACCCCTGCTATAGAGTCTAAATCTAGATCTCTAAAGTATCCCAAAATACACAACAAAGGTTTACTCTAATTCTAGGTTGGATCAAGATGTTGGTTTAGCAAACTCTATAAGTAAGGGACGTAGAAGTATTCCACATACTACACTGAACAAAAATATAAAAGCAACACTTTTGTTTTTGCTCCTATTTTTCATGAGATGAACTCAAAGATCTAAAACATTTTCTATAAACACAAAATAACCATTTCTCTCAAATATTGTTCACACATTTCTGAAAGAATCTGTGATGGTGAGCACTTCTCCTTTGCCGAGATAATCCATCCCACCTCACAGGTGTGGCATATCAAGATGCTGATTAGACAGCATGATTATTGCACAGGTGTGCCTTAGGCTGGCCACAATAAAAGGCCACTCTGAAACGTGCAGTTTTGCTTTATTGGGGGGGTCTGGGGGGGTCCGAAAACCAGTCAGTAGCTAGCTAGCACCAGATGCTAACAACAGCAATACACGTAAGGTATGCCTCGCTCGAGCCACACATACACACACCCTCCCGGTCCTCCAGATGGCCAGTCGGTGCCTGCCGGTGAGCGTGGAAGTGTGGTCTGCCACAAGCGGGCGGCAGGAGCGGGGCTGTCAACATCAACTTGAAGATGGTATTTTAAACTTGATGCGCTCTGAAACTACGGGGCGGCCGAGGACAAAAAATACACATGCGTTAATCGCGCTAAAATATTTAGTGGCGTTAATTTTTTTTTGCGTTAACGCGTTATTAACTTGACAGCCCTAATTATTATATAGAGTCGTTATTCATTTGTTTTAAAGCTCAATAAATAACAAAGAAGACCTTTGACCGGCACTTTTCTAATTTTGTCCGGAAGATTTCAACTTTAACGGACATGTTGACCGGCGAACTGAAACTCTGCCGCACGGTCCCCTCGTCCTTTGGAAGAGGCGGAGAGGTGAGTGTTTGTCATCTGCTGGTGGCAAACCGGAGAGAATTACTGTGCTTGCCTCGGGGAGGGAGAAAAAGAGCCACAGCGGAGAATAAACAGAAGGGCAACCATGGCAACCATGGCAACCATGCGCAGGAAGTCTTCTTCGCTGCTTTTGTGGCAGACTACAGCGCCACTTACAGGCCTGTCATATGTACTACAGCGTCTCTTTCGAGCGGCAATGGCCGGCCGTGGCCCAACCTCTCATTCCCCATATAGGCGGACAATTTCAAATCTGGATCAGTCTGTATCAGATCCGTTGCAGCCCCGTTTTTAGAGATTTGGGTATGGAGGAAAAGAGAGAGGGTTGTGTTTTCTGACACTTGGTGAGTTCCCTGACACACCGGCGACACATATTCATGTATAAAAGACGTACAAAAGTGCATTTTGCATGATAGGTCCCCTTTAAATGTATTTATTTATTTAAGATGTGAAATGTTACTAATATACTCACGGACCACACTTTGAGAAGCACAGTCATATAATGGCAAAATATATCAAGAACATACATTCAATAGGTCATGATGATTGTTTTTGTGAAACCTTGCATATACACACTCGTTGAACGGCTCCGTTACAATTAGCAGTTAATAAATAATCATAATGTTGGTTATTGTACATTTGCGCTAATATACCCTGATATACCTCAACCGATATCAGTAACAATAGTAATAGCTACGTTACATTGGCTGTAGCGCTAACATCGGCCCTGCTGCCCACTCATAGATTACAGTTAACGTCTTTTCAAATAGATCTCTATCTTATTGAGTCCATGTAAAACACGCCATGCTTTCTATTGCTTTCTCACGTTGTGTATACAGTAATGCAGCAGAAGAAGCCACAATGACAACATGGCTGAGCGACGGATGTAAATAAAGGGTTGAGGACTGTTAAGGAGTAAAATAAAAACATTTAAGGTTGTTCCTTACTTTCATTAGGTCACTCTGTCCAATGTCACCCTGCAACGTGATTGGCTTGTCATTACATTACATTTCACATTACACGTCATTTAGCTGACGCCTTTATCCAAAGCGACTTACAATAAGTGCAAAAATCATAAAGGTTCAAACTCCAAACAAAAAGGAAAGTGCAGATATATTCACTTCAAACAAGATCGTTCCATAGTTAGTGCAGGTGAATCAGTTAAAAGGCCTAAAGTAACTAAAAAAGTGCTTTTTTCCCCCAGCAATAGCTTAATTACCAAGGTACAATTGAAATAGATGCGTTTTCAGTCTAGATATGCAGAGTTTCTGCTGTCAATGGGGAGTTCATTCCACCATTTAGGAGCCAGGATAGCAACCAGGTGTGTTTTTGAGGAGTTCCTGGGTCCCACTCTCAGGGATGGAGTAGCACCTGCTTTGACTGCAGCTGGAGAAACTTCTGGATTCAGTCTGAAAGCATCCTTTTTTAACTTTAAACATGGTCTTTAATAATGTTGTAGTTTAGTTGAACTCTGAGAGGTAGACTGGCTGGACTCCTCACTGGGACTCTGGTTCTGGACCAGCTTGCAGGCTCCAGGAGTTCTTGGAGAGAAGGAGCGCTTCCTGCCGCAGGACTCGGGGGATGGGAGTTCCTGAACATGGAGAAACAGCTTCAGTTATTATGCTCCAAATATCTGGAACAAAGTCACAGAAAGAATGTGTCTGCAGCTCAGAGAGTCCTGCTGGGAACCCACACATGTTGAGGAGCCCAGAGTTTGATGATAGAAATGTACAGTACGGGTCCCCAGCACATAGAAGCTGCCGGATGCTAACCTGCATATGTTGGGAGAGCTTTAGAGACCATGAGAGGAACTAAGTACACTTTTGAGGTACTTGTACTTTTGAGGTACTTGTACTTTACTTGAGTACTTCCATTTAATGCTGCTTTTTACTTTTAATCCACTACATGTATTTAATACCTAGCAGGAAACCGATGGACTGTCCACTCCAAGTAGGGAATGAGTCCTTACCCCAAGTGAAGGAGTTCAAGTATCTCGGGGTCTTGAGGGAACAATGGACTGAAGATGGGTTAGAGAATCAGCGGGAGCTATACTGCAGTCGCTTTACCGCACAGTTGTGACAAAGAGAGAGCCGAGCCAGAAAGCAAAGGCTACCGTCCATCTTCATTCCTACCCTCACTTCATCATGACCGAAAGAAGAAGATCACGGATACAAGCGGCCAAAATGGGTTTCCTCCGAGTAACTGCCATCTCCCTTAGGGATAAGGTGAGCTCAGTCATGGGGAGGGACTCGGGGGTAGAGCTGCTGCTCCTTCGCGTAGAAAGGAGTCAGTTGAGGTGGTTTAGGCACCTGGTAAGGATGCCACCTGGGCGCCTCCCTAGAGTTGATCCACGCACATAGGCTTGAAGGACACTAAGGGGCAGACCCAGGACCAGGTGGAGGGATTATATCTCCACACAGGACTGGGAGCTCCTTGGACCCACCAGTCAGAGCTGGCTGATGGGAAGGGGAAGTTTGGGGCTCTCTGCTGGAGCAGCTACCTCCGCTACCTGACTCCAGATCAGAGGTGGAAGATGGATGGAAAATATACTGTCACTTCATTTAATATTGAGGAGAGCTAACAGGAAGTCTCTCATCAGCTGCAGCCTTCTTCTTTATTTTCCAAAATGCCTCCACGCTCCTCTTTACGTCTCAAACTCGCCCCGTAATAAATGAACGGAGAACAAATCAAACCTGAGCTGCAGATTCGTCTGGAATCCCAGAAAAACTCTGAGCAATAACTACATTTTATTCAGTGGTGAAACCTCAATAAATAAACTTCAGTTGGTACGACCTCTCACCTTTCAGTCTGTCTTCACTTCCTGTCACCACAGAGGAGAGAGAGAATAATGATGATGATGATGATGATGATGATGATGATGATGATGATGATGATGATGATGATGATGATGATGATGATGATGATGATGATGATGATGATGATGATGATGATGATGATGATGATGATGATGATGATGATGATGATGATGATGATGATGATGATGATGATGATGATGATGATGATGATGATGAACAAAGAGAAACAGCCAGAATGATGAAGAGAGAAACCAGAGTGTTGTTTTCCTCTGAGGACATGCTCCATCAAAGAGTCTCATATCTGGATGAATGGAGGATATTCAGTACTCACAGGTCTTCTGGATCTTGGCTCTGATCGTCTCATCATCTCTGATCCTGTAGGGATGAACACAATCCAACAGTTATGATCCAGTTTAAAATAAGTGTTTGTTCTTTGAGTCAGCTTCAGAGTCCTGATCTCATGCTTTACATCCCATCATATCTTCTCTGCAAACACTACGACTGACTGCCACAGCTCTCAGCTGCATGACAGGAAGTAACAGTCATTAGTCAAGGAGCTAAAAACATCCCATCAAACACAGACTACCTTTTCCACTCTTCTGTCAAACCCCATATGTCTGGTGGAAAGTTGATTACTTACTAAACGTGGCTTTGCATTTCCAGCTGGCCTTCTCTAGTTGATGGAAGAATGAGAGAGCCTGCAGTCAGTGGGTAACATCACTGATCTGTTTCCCCAGTGAGAGAAACACCTCCCTGTGTTTCATACAATACTGCTGAACCAGCAGAGACCCCTTACTGACCTGAGGGTCTCCAGTCTGCAGTCTGGACTCTCCAGAAGATCTCTCAGCAGCTCCACTCCTGAATCCTGCAGAGCGTTCTCTCTCAGGTCCAGATCTCTCAGATGGATGTTGGACTTCAGAGCTGAGGCCAGAGCAGAACAGCTGATCTCTGACAAACTGCAGCTCCTCAGTCTGAATAAAGAAAACATCTGTTTATAATGGGAACAGAAAAATCTGTCTACTTCAAAAAGTAAACTTTATCCTGTAAAACGATTATAACTTCAGATCACCTTTATTCAGACGTTATAGTTTACTAAATATTAAATATACAGATTTACTTTTCACAGCTAACATCTATAACAGTTTGTGGCTGTGGGGTGTAGTTAGAGCGCCGACTGCTGGAGTGATGGTAGTGGCTCGGCCGGAGACCAGACAGCTGATCAGAATCAGGTAATCAGTCACTCAATAAAAGCTTGAGGTAACCTGGTTCTGGTCGGTCTTGCAGTAGGCTGGATCCTGGGAGAACATCTGGACCACGGATGCATGACTAAGCCTCCGCACAGCCTCCCGTTTGTTTTGGAGGAGCTTTTTATTTTGGCAGTATTTGGACAATAAACACCTATGTTAACCCTGAATCCTTCTGTCCATTTTTAACCCAACCTGGTCTCACCAGAATGCGTGACTCCACCACGACTCCTTAACACCGCATTGCGTGGTGGAGTTACGAACTTTGCTACATTTACGTGTCTGCACCACGCAAACAACCCCAATGTAAAGTGAATGAGGCTGCTTTGTCGTGGTGCACACACGCATTTCTACAACGTCCAGCAGTGAGCTTTTATTATATAAAACGTTTTAAAATCTACTTTATAGCTTGTAGTAACTCACGGGAGGCTTCTTTTATTTTATTTGTATTCATAATAATTTGTATTTTTCATCAGAATGTATTATGGTGCATTAGTTACGATTTTTTGTTCTCAAAAAACAGTGCATTGTGTGTAATACAACTGTGATTTTTATTAAATTAGTTTAAGGAAGGCCAGAGCTTCAGCTGTGTCAAATAGATTGTTCCCTTTAGTTAACATTTTTTAAAAGAACATTATATTCCGATTTGATCATGTCCCCTTAATTGTATTACGGAGAGCAATGTGAGCGTCCATTCCCATTGGATAACGCAGGATTTTACACCCGGAAGTAAGTATTCTCCTTACTGTCGATTGGTTTTACAGTGATATCTGCACTACTCATCAACTCAAACACACCAGATTATGGTGTGTTTGAGTCAATGTGTCAATCAATGTTGATGACACAACATTGATTGGTTTAAATTGTGTGCAATGCTTTTGTAATTTTCCCCTTCGATTCGGAGAAACAAATATTTGTTCAGAGTTTAGGATGGCCGAAGACACTACACTACCCAGAATCCTCAGCTATTGTTCCGCTTTGCCTCAAGTTCTATGATTGGTTGACCTCCAACTGCATTCCATATGAAAAAAACGTTTCGTAAAAGATAAAATCATACTTTATTCAGCAGTGCTTGCTTTACTCTTTGAAAGTCATCACATGAATGCATTGTAATAAATGGTTCGGCTGCATTAAAGATACACATCTGTCGTAGTTCTTTATTTTTATTTATCTACAGAGATCGGGCTCAGAATAGACCGGAAACTATTCTTTTACCGTTCAGTTTGAATTTCACAATAAAGTTAGTAGTAAAAACTACTAGACCGCTGGGTCATGTTAAGATCATATTTTCTGTGTTGCTGTGGGTTTTTTCCATCGCTTTTGTGTTACAAATATTAAAACAATAGCTAAATATATCCGTCGTAAACTAAACTGGAAACAACAGTATATTTTATTTTGTTAACACTGTACACTTGACAGCTTTTTAACCCGCACCTCCTACTGGTTAAAGCACGTTATTACACGTTTAGAGTAATTGCAATGCAGGAAGATTGTGTTGCTTTTTAATGACTGTTTAAAATGCCTTTTTCTTAACCTGTTAAGCCTGTTTTTCAGGTTTCAGGCTCGAAAATGACATTCCCAGAACAAATGACCATATCTTCTAAAAGGGTTAAATTAATAATCTTTTTTCTCAAAGTAATGATAAACCTGTGAGTTGGATGTAGAAAAGTCAGAATCAATATAGATGTTTTTTATTTTAAAGAAAATTCAGATTGAACATGGTAAAAACCTGTAAATTATAGTGTCCGTCCAAAATATATTTTGTACTTATAGTGAAAACTAACCTTGGATGATGGGTTAGTAGACTAAGAGCTTTAGGAATCCAAAGTACAACATATAATAAGTACCCTGTATCAAGATTGATGCAAAACAAGTGATATTTGACCTTTTTAGACAGATTTAGCAACAAAAAACTTCTGGGGCCATTTGGGTGGATTTTCCTTATCTCTGGCCCCCCTTCTTCGATTTTGACATGTGACATCTCTTTCTGACCATTAGAGCCAATAGAATCAAAGGGGAATTGTCCCACTCACACACATGGCAAAACGAAAAGGTGGGGGCTTCGCGTACTCAGTTTTGCTCCAGAGTGAAGCTGTCTCTAGGTCTGACATCTCAAAACCGAAAAGCCGATGTATTGCTCATGGATAATCAGAAATCATTCAAAGTGACACAGACACATTGGATTAACCTATGGATTAACTACACCATCGTTTTTTGTCGTTTTAATGCCATTGAAGACCAGTTTAGACCAGACAAAGACGAAGGTAAGCCATGTTAGCGTTGTGGGCTACCTAGCGCCACTTGTTTTGATGTACGTTTTTGTTGATAACGTCGCGAGTTTGTATCTTTCAGTATTGAGGTGGGCACCGTTAGATTATGTGTCTCCTTGCGATCATAAACGATGTGTTAGATGTGCACCTAGGATAAGTAATAAGGGAGCTATGAGTGATTATCGGTGCAGTAATAGGTTAGCATTTTTCGCTCAGGTCATTTAGATGCTTCTTATGAGACTTGTGTTTTGTTTTGGTAAAAATGGTTTGTATCGTCAGTTAGCTGAGATTATTCCCGTTAATCTGGTATAACACATTAATAGGTACTTAAATATTAAGATTCCCTGAGACACAGTGTCGTGAGAAAAAAAAACAAGGGTACCCGCCGGTAGGGACCTTGGGGCTTAACAGGTTTTAATGTCTTTCATTTTTGAAAAGCACTTTTGAATGTGTTATATTTGATGAAAACATTTAAATATTAAGAGTCCATACAAAATATTGGGAAAGTAGAAGGTCAATGATATAAATATAGAATAGAAAATATCAAGAAGATACTGTAAATGATATCTAGAATAAAACAGTTTAGTGCCTGATAGGAGGATGTGCAAAACAGACAAACTAATAAGGCTTTATTTAAACATCAAAGAATACTTTAGGTTAAGTTCTTCTTTTAAATAAGAAAGAAGCTTTGGGGGTATCTATCTACAGATAAATATTAAGCCTGACAAAGTACTTAACGTCTAATTTATTGCTTTCCTGCAATGTTAACTATGTTGAAGCACTTATTTTAACTGATATTATACATATGAATTATACTCTTATGTAGATAGTATTAGAAATGTGCAGAATTTGACAGTTTAATGGTGGAGGTACACACATATTGATAGATGTCTTGTAATGCACTGTTGAGGAACCTGTGACCCAAGTTTTTCATTCATTGCATAACTACACCGTAGTTGTGTATATGATATGTCAATAAACAGGGCTGCACATAACTGGTGCGCAGGTGCGCATGCGCACCTCCGCCAAAAAAAGAGCACCGGGTCATTTGAAAAAAAGGCGCATTTGCGTACCAACATTGAGAGAGGGAGAAGAGAGAGAAGGGAGAAGAGAAAAGAGAGAAGGGAGAAGAGAGGAGAGAGAGAAAGACATTTGCGAGTTGCATATGAACTCAGGGTCGGCCCGTAGCACTGGCGTTATAGATATTCGCCTAGGGCGCCAGATCTGTGGAGGCGCTGCGCTGGGAGTTCTGGGAGGGAAAAAAACATTTTTGACCGTTGGGGCTCATCCTAATTTTCGGTCTTGATGTAACAACATTCATAATTAAGTAGATGTAACACCCTTTTCACCCCGGTTACACGTTTCATTTGCCCTGTACAATGGGCGCTGTAAGTGATGGGGGATGTTGGCTTATCTGGCAACCGCAGCTCACAGCCAAAATGCGAGGGAGCGAGGGAGAGAAGGAGGGTGCACCGGTTCCGGCGCAGTTGTTATTAGAATCTGGTGCTAGCTGCTCTAACGGATATAAGAAGAAGATGTTTCTACAATAATGTGGAGAGCTCTCTCCAGTCCGACTGAGAGGCTGATGACTACAGCTCAGTGAGGTAAAGGACTCTGAGTGTTTAGATAGTTCACTTTAGTCTAAGTTATCTCAGTGGGTCTCAAACGTTTTGATCACAATTTATGTAAACACATATTCAAGGCACTCCTTTATAATTATTGGGATAAACAGATTTGAAATCATTCCAATGTATACTATAGGACAGTAACCAAAGATATCCTTAAAAACTGGAGAGATAAAAAAAAATGCATAAATAAATAAATGTTAAGGTAAAATAAGATATGAATGAACAACATCAATAAAATAAGTTACATTCATTTGTTATTGGCTATGGTAGGTTATTGGTTATGTTCACATACTTATTTGATTACATCCACTTGTCTAAGATGACAACAGAGACTTTCGACCCAAAACCAGCAGCTAATCGCAGACTCAACCAGAGAGAAAGAAGTAGGCCTACATCATCAGCTACCATGTCTGACAGAGAGGAAGACAGTGAGGAGAACAGTCAGGAGGGTAGTGATGACAGCTTATAGGATTACTGGTCGTGCTAATGTTGTCTTGTGTTCACCTCTGCATGTGTGTTCTGTGTTCACCTCTGCATGTGTGTTCAGTGCCGTGTGTCTGGCAAATAAAGACCCCCTCAAATGTTACGGTTTATTTCATTTTAAGGATGAGCACCAAGCAACATCTCCAGGTGCTCCTTTGAGAACCAGGGCAAAAAAGTTATGTGCACCCCTGTCAATAAACCTTTGAAAATCTTGAAATCTTGAAAGGGATGTGCAAAATAGCAATTATATACAGTTTTTAATGACCTATTAGTAGAGAATAACGAGCAATGAATATACTTTATACGGATCTGCAGATAAATGTTTAGTCTTCTAAAGCACTAACTATCAAATATCTCTCCTGATTGTTGGCACTTGACAATCACCTTCCCTGAATTTTACTCAGGTGTAACTAAAGTCTGCTTTAAGGGTTGTTTATATTTCCCATCATTAATCAGAATCTGCAAAGTAACTAAAATAAATGTAGTGGAGTAAAAATACCAGGTTAACCTTAAAGAAAGCCCTCAGGATTATAAAAGACCCCCATCACCCCAGCCACAAACTGTTCTGTCTGCTGCCGTCTGGCACAACAGCCGCATTCTAGGAGAGGATGTGGCTGTTGTGGAGGACTACAAGTACCTGGGAGTGCACTTATGGGCTGAACTGGAGGATCAACACTGACGCTGTGCACAAGAAGGGGATGAGCAGACTCTATTTTCTGAGGAAGCTGAGATCCTTCCACGTGTGCAGCAAGACCGATCCAGGAACACATTCCTGCCCACTGCAATAACTCTGTACAACAAATCACCTCTGGCTAGGAGAGAACTCGCTGCTCCATAGTTTCTCTTGGAATAAAACCTCGCTGTACATTTTACACATATATAATCTGTTCAATATTTAATATTCCATATGTCATATATTTTTGAATATATATATTTGCATATATAATATCTACATGTATATTTTCTATTTCAACATGTATATTTTCTATTTTCTTTTCTTTCTATTCTTGTTTATTTGTAGTTTTGTTTTATTGTAAAATGCCTGCTGCAACAAAAACAATTTCCCAAATTGGGATCAATAAAGTACAATCTTATCTTATCTTATCTTACCGCAGCATCAGGACTAAAACCACCAGACTCAGGGACTGCTTCATCCCACAGGCCATAAGACTATTAAACACCTGAACTTTGAAATAACATCCTTAGCATTAATCTGGCTGCTACTCAAAAATGATTTGTTTAATATATCATATTCCAATCACTTGTATAGACTCTTATTGGACTATTTTACTTTTTACTATTTCTCTTTTTGTATTGACTTGCACTATGTTTTCTGTGTATCTGTTTTATTGTGTTGCACTGTTGGAGGAGCCTGTGACCTAAGGGGGGGGGGGGGTGTAGGACACGTTCGATTCCTGTTTTGAATAGTGTGCCGTCGATCGGTTTCATTCCATTTCAAAATTCTGTTTGACGCTCGGTGTAAACTTCACGCACTGCCACTCCAACATCCAATCACAGAGCTTGAGGACAAATCACGGGGTTTGTCAAGCAAAGCACATGGTGTAGTCCCAAACGATAGCTGAGGATTCTGGGTAGTGTAGTGTCTTCTGCCATCCTAAACTCTGAACAAATATTTGTTTCTCTGAATCGAAGGGGGAAAATACAAAAGCATTGTACACAATTTAAACCAATCAATGTTGTGTAATCAACAAGGATAATCTGGTGTGTTTGAGTTGATGAGTAGTGCAGATATCACTGTAAAACCAATCGACAGTAAGGAGAATACTTACTTCCGGGTGTAAAATCCTCCGTTATCCAATGGGAATGGATGCTCACATTGCTCTCCGTAATACAATTAAGGGGACATGATCAAATAGGAATATAATGTTCTTTTAAAAAACGTTAACTAAAGGGAACAATCTATTTGACACAGCTGAAGCTCTGGCCTTCCTTAAACTAATTTAATAAAAATCACAGTTGTATTACACACAATGCACTGTTTTTTGAGAACAAAGAATCGTAACTAATGCACCATAATACATTCTGACGAAAAATACAAATTATTATGAATACAAATAAAATAAAAGAAGCCTCCCGTGAGTTACTACAAGCTATAAAGTAGATTTTAAAAACGTTTTATAGAATAAAAGCTCACTGCTGGACGTTGTAGAAATGCGTGTGTGCACCACGACAAAAGAGCCTCATTCACTTTACATTAGGGTTGTTTGCGTGGTGCAGACACGTAAATGTAGCAAAGTTCGTGACTCCACCACGCAATGCGGGGTTAAGGAGTCGTGGTGGAGTCACGCATTCTGGTGAGACCAGGTTGGGTTAACCTGTGTGTGAGCTGAGGTGCTCACACAGTTCCTTTAAGAAAAAGTCAACATGTATGTCTGCGGTTCTTCATTTAGTAGGCCTACGTAAAAATGAAATATGAATAAAAGGACATTTACTACTTCATGGATGTTAGTGATGAATGAACATAAATAAGGTTCAATTACAAAGTGAACATGTGAGATCTCCAGCAGTAACAGAGAGTCAGTGAACTGACCTGAGGGTCTCCAGTCTGCAGTCTGGACTCTCCAGAAGATCTCTCAGCAGCTTCACATCTGAATCCTGCAGAGCGTTGAGACTCAGGTCCAGAACTCTCAGATGGAGTTTGGACTTCAGAGCTGAGATCAGAGCAGAACATCTGATCTCTGACAACCTGCAGCACCTCAGTCTGAATAAAGAAAACATGATGGGGATACAAATCCGTTTATAATCAGATGTGTTACTCAACATTGAAATGAATGGGAACAATAACAACGTAAAGTCAACTTTATCATGTAAAACTAATATATATATTAGTTTTACATGATAAAGTTGACTTTACGCTGAAGTTATAACTTCAGATGACCTTTATTCAGACGTTATCATTTACTAAATATTAAAAACATAGATTTACTTTTTACAACCAACATCTATTATAGTTCCTTTAACCTGTTCAGCCCTGAGCCTGTTTTTCAGGTCTCAGGCTCGAAAATGACATTCCCAGAACATATGACCATATCTTTCCTTCTAAAAGGGGAAAATTAATAATCTTTTTCTCAAAGCAATGATAAACCTGTGAGTTGGATGTAGAAAAAAGTCAGAATCAATATCGATTTTTTTTATTTTACAGTATTGAACATAGTAAAAAAATGTAAATTATTGTGTCCGTCCAAAAAAAACACATTACTTATAGTGAAAACCACCCTTGAATGATGGGATGGTAGACTAACAGCTTTAGGAATCCAAACTATAACATATAATAAGTACCCTGTATCAAGATTGATGCAAAACAACTGACCTTTGACCTTTTTAGAGAGATTTAGATAAAGAACCCCATCTCTGGGGTCATTTGGGTGGATTTGCCGTTTCTCTGGAACCCATTGGTCGATTTTTGTGATTGACACCTCTTTTTAACCGTTAGAGCCAATAGAATCGAGGGGGGATCCTAAATCCACCTACACGTTAACATTGAGGAGTGATGCGCACGCAGCTTGCCCAAACTGAAAGCTATGTTACGCTCTGAAAACTAGGCTTATTGCCATAAATGTTAAAGGTCCCATGTCGTGGCCATTCCTACTGATCATAGTTCCATTGTTGAGGTCTACTAGAATAGATTCACATTGTTCAATGTTCCAAACTCACATTGGTTTCTCATACAGCATCTCTGTATAGTCTGTGTATTCACTCTCTGTCCTACACGGCTTGTTGGAGCTCCTGCCCCCCCTGTGAGCCCACTGTGCTCTGATTGGTCGGGACGTTGCGAGGCTCACTGCTCAGTGAGCTGGCTTACTGGTGTGGTTTCCGGGTCGGCGATACAGCGAGACAGTGCGAAACTCATCCTGAGCACACACAAACACTCACAGCCGATGTTAAAACAATAAGTGTGGCTTGATATTGATTAAAAAAAAGGTTTACAAACGTTGTGAGAATGGGTCTGCGGAGAGCATTTCTCCACCATCCCAACTCGTCTATTACCAACCAGGGAGCTCTATGCAAGTCAATGGGGACTCCCTGTTAGTTGAAAATGTACGCTAAAGGTCCCCCCACTGCGTTTGATAGTGACGCCAAGGGATCCTGGTGTGTGAGGAGCTCCATGGATTGGTCCATTTTGGTTCCCGGAAGAAACAGATGGAAAAAGAGAAATCTCCAATGAGGCGTTCTGGGGCAGCATAGACAGGTCTTCTCTGTGTTAGAGTTTTACTCGCTACAGGGTGTACTTTGAGGGTTTGTGACTTTGCAGACCGTTCACATGCAGAAAAACCTTCATAACACACAAGGGGATGGGTAATAACCGGAAAAGCATGACATGGGACCTTTAAAGATGGATTATCTGTAATAATTTCAAAGTGACACAGACACTTTGGATTAACCTTCAGCAGCATTTTATGCGTTTTAATCAGAAAACAACAGGTAAGACATATTTGCCGTTTTGGCCCTGTGAAGCTACGTTGTGTGTTGTCTGGTTTCGCCTTCGCTGCCGCGAGTTTTGGTCGCTCAGTGATGATACTTATACCATTGGAATCTGTGGAATCTCAGCTTTCAGATGATATCTTGTTTTGCAGATCCGATGAAGTATAAAAGATCGCTAACGTGAGTTATGTGCTAAGTGCGTGAGCACTCTTTTGCTTAGTGCTAATTCAGACGCTCAGCGTTAGAGTTGTGTTTTGTTTCGGTAAAAATTGTTCATATTGTCAGGTAGCTGAGTGTCTTCCCGTTAAGTGGGTATGACACATTAATAGGTTGTTAAATGTTAAGAAGCCGGGGGGGGGGGGGGGGGGGGGGGGGGGGCATGGGGTTTAACATGTTAAGAAACAGACAAGATGTATGTCTGCAGTTCTTACTTCATACTCTTAAAAATGAAATGAATAAAAGGACATTTACTTTTAATTGAAAGCGTACACAGCTCATGTTCGGAAAGACCTTAAAGAAAGGCATCAGTAAGATGGAACTTCTGTGTGAACTATTCATATCTTAAACTGCACTGTAACTTTTTATTCATGTACTTTTTATTCATGTATTTTTTCTTTTAATGTTGCTTTTATTATCTTTTCTTTTTAATTACTGTTTTTAAATGCCTTTGTCTGAATGTCTTTCATTTTTGTAAAGCACCTTGAATTGCCTTGTGTTGAAAGGTGCTATATAAATAAACTTGCCTTGCTTCTTTATGGATGTTAGTTATTAATGAATATAAATGAGGTTCAGTTACAAAGTGAACATGTGAGATCTCCAGCAGTAACAGAGAGTCAGTGAACTGACCTGAGAGTCTCCAGTCTGCAGTCTGGACTCTCCAGAAGATCTCTCAGCAGCTCCACTCCTGAATCCTGCAGATCGTTGTCACTCAGGTCCAGATCTCTCAAATGGACGTTGGACTTCAGAGCTGAGATCAGAGCAGAACAGCTGATCTCTGACAAACTGCAGCCCCTCAGTCTGAATAAAGAAAACATGATGTAACTTTAGAAAACAATGTTCCTGTTGGAAATAACTCCAGGTTTAATAATCTGTTCAAAGTCAAACAGGGTTTTAATGTCAGAGATGATGCAGAAACAATCCACTGATAATCTGGAACTTTAACTTTGATCAGATGTTTAACAACTCCTTCCTCTCCCTCACAGCTCCTCAGTACTGACAGCATCTCCACTGACTCCTGGACATGCCCGGCGCCGTGGGAGGGCAAGGGAGGGTAGGCCCTCCCATTTTACATTCTTGTTCTCCCACAATAAACACGATTTTTATTATTTATAAACATTTTTTTTTTAAATTGTTTATTATAAATAAACTGGGAACTTTTATGCTACGATATATGTGATGTCAAATAGTAACTAAAACAAAAAAAATCGCAGGCTACGTCAAATAAATTCATGTGTCTGTTGTGATTTGTGATTCGTCCACATTTAAAGACCAATCACAGCGTCACACTCTGCCGCCAATTCTGAATTTGTTTATTGTTTATTGTGCATTCAGTAGACTCCCATTTATGTTTGAATTACACAATGGACATCAGAAATTCGCTCAAAAGGTCTAAGGATTTATTAAAACGAAATAGCGATGAAAGAACTGCAGCCGATGCAGCAGCTGGCGACCCTGCACCTACCGTTGCAGCAGCACGCCTTAATGTCACAAGCTTGACCTCGGCAAACCCCGGGGCTGAGTTAGCGAGCCCAATCCTTGACTCATCAAGGCGGCCGCCACCAACGCTGTCCTCCGAGGCACAGCTCCTTGTGCCCCTACCATCACCACATGCGTTGCCACACCCTGTACCACACCCGCCAGCATCCTCCTCCTCCTGCTCCGTGCCGGTGCCTACACTACTACTACTACTACTACACTACAGACGCTACCTTGCAGCACATCAACAGGTACTATTGGGCCAGCAACCGCTCAAAGACCAACAGCCCCAGATGATCTTGGGGTTAATAAACCCAAGCAGGTGAAACTGGATCGTTTTCCAGGGAGATTGTTTTCAGGAAAGAAGCGCACTTTTGCCGCTGCATGGTACACAACAGATCATGGCTTGAATATCCGTTAAAAGCAGACGCAGCCTTTTGTTTCCCCTGGAGACAGTTTAAAGTAAATACGTCTTCATCTGATGCGGCTTTTACTGTCAAAGGTTTTTGCGACTGGAAACACACATTACAGACTGATAAAGGACTGCTAAGAAATGCCGCATCAAAAGAACACATTTCATGTGAGAGTTTGTGGAGAGAGAGAGAGATACGAGAGAGAGAGAGAGAGAGAGAGAGAGAGAGAGAGAGAGAGAGAGAGAGAGGAGAGAGAGAGAGAGAGAGAGAGAGAGAGAGAGAGAGAGAGAGAGAGAGAGAGAGAGAGAGGGAAGAGAGAGAGAGAGAATTTTTGACAGAATGCTCACATTATACGCGAGGAAACAAATAAGGAAATTAGTACTTTGGTGCAGATCAGCTGCACGGAGCCGTTATTACGTCAGCTGTCGTTGATATTATAGCTTTTTTAGCTGTCAACCAACTCCCTCTCAGAGGTGACTCTACAGCATGTCCGAGTCAGGCAGTGGGCTCTTCCTATTGCTGTTTGAGTATACGCTGCACAAAGATGCAGAGTTGACCACAATAATGGAAAGCATTCCCCACACAGCAACACACACCTCTCACGACATGCACAATGCCATAATAGAACTAACAGCAGCTCATCGTCTCCGTCTCTACTATTTCTCTCGGAGTGCAACGACGAGGAAGCTGCCATCCTTAACCAGTGTGCCTTGCTCGTGATTTACCAGTGTCTGTGCTGCCACGCACACAATGTTTCAAAGTGGTTTCTATGTTGCCCTTTATTTGTGTATGTATTTGCGATAAGTGTGCGTCTTTGCGCAATGCTGTTGGCCTTGCTGTTTGATATTGTGCCGCAGGCCCGCAGCACGTGACGGTGTTGTGTGCCCTCCAATGAAAATCACATGCCCTCCCTTTAGATTTGTTCTGGCGCCGGGTCTGCTCCTGGAGCACAGGGTGAGTCTGTGGAAGCTCAAACACAGGGTTCCTGTAGGTTTCACCAACTCAAAGTTAAGACCGTTTTAAGACCTTTTTAAGAACACTTTGAATAGAATTCAAGACCTATTTCACGGCAAGAAAGTATGAAGGAAAATTGCTATGAAAGAAGAAATACGTCCCATAATTACTTTTAAAGTAAATGTATTCACGTTCAACATAAGAACGATGACTGAACACAACAGCATAACA